CATTGTTTAGCTTCTCTGACTCACTTTGTTAAACAATTTTTTTTTTTTTTGGTTCCCTCTGCTCTTGCCTCCATGCTGGCTGCCCTACCCAGTGTGGGTTTCTTTTTCCCATATTATGAGTGTCTGATGCAGAGTGGCAGTGTTGGGCAAACTTCATGTCACACCCAGAGACATATGAGGGGTTGTCACTCTCAGATCACCCCAGAAGCCCTCAGTCACCACATGATTAAGACCACTTTGGCGGCCACCAGGTATGGTGGTGCACGCCTTTAATCCCAGCGCTCAGGCGGCAGAGGCAGGAGGGGCTCTGTGAATTCAAGGCGAGCCTGGTCTATAGATGGAGTCTCAGGACAGGCTCCAAAGTTACACAGAGAAACACTGTATCAAAACCCCGAAAAAAACAGAGAAACACTGTCCTTAAAAACCAAAAACCAACCAAACAAACAAAAACAAACAAAAAACCAGCCGGGCACACACACATCCACACATACCACAAATACAAGTGTAATTAAAACTTAAAACTTAATGATGCCAGGCGTTGGTGGCTCACGCCTTTAATCCCAGCACTAGGGAGGTAGAGGCAGGTGGATCTCTGTGAGTGGGAGACCAGCCTGGTCTACAAGAGCAAGTTCCAGGACAGCCTCCAAAGCCACAGAGAAACCCTGTCAGGAAAACCAAAAAAAAAAAAAAAAAACCAACCAACCAAACAAACAAAAAAACCCCAAAAAAAACCCCAAAAAACCACCACCACCACCACCAACAACAAACCCCCATCTGCGGGCTAGGGAACATGGACTTGGTTGGTAAAAATGCTTACCCATATAAGCATGAAAAACCTGAATTTGATTCCTGGAACCTGTGTGAAAAAAAGTAGGTGTGTGACTGATGTCATCATTGGTGAGGCTCCTGACCAAAGAGGTAAGCTTCAGAATCTGTCTCAAAAAAGAGGATGTGCTGGGCTGTGGTAGCGCACCCCTTTAATCACAGCACTAGGGAGGCAGAGGCAAGTGAGTCTCTGTGAGTTCAAGGCCTGCCTGGTCTACAGAGTGAGTTCCAGGACAGCCAGGACTGTGTAGTAAGTAAGACTCTGTCTCAAAACAAATGAAAAACAGAATGGGGAGCTGGAGAGGTGGCTCAGCAGTTAAGGACATTGACTGCTCTTCCAAAGAGCAGTTCCCAGCACCCGTACGGCAGCTCACAAGTGTCTGGAACTCAAGTTCCATTGGATATGACTCCCTCACACAGACATGCCAAACACCAATGCATATAAAACAAACAAACAAAAACCAGGACAGGTGGTAACCTGAGGAATGACACCTGAGCTTGGCCTCTATACGCACATGCACAAATGTGCATAAGCACGCATGTACACACAGATCTCATCTGAGCCTGGTGTGGTGGCACACATGCCTATCATCCCAACTAGTACAGAGCCTGAGGCAGAAAAATCATGGCTTCAAGCATGAAGGCTACAGAGTGAGTCTGAGGGCAGTGGGCAACTTAGTGAGACCCTGTCTCATCCTCCCTCCCCTCAAAAAAAGAAATAGGAAAAAAAGGTCTGCTTCCTGGCCCAGAGTCATCTACACTGTATCCAAAACTCACCTACTGACTTGTAACCTTTGCTGGACTCCCCCATCTCACTGGCCAGTATCAGCTCTCCCAGCAAGAGCAGGCTATTTTCCTGTGTTCTTCAGACTCTGAACCCAGATGCTTCTCCTTGGTCTGCAGAGAAAAGCATGAAGTCAGAGGTCAAGGGAAAGGGGCCTCCTGTACACAAACACTCCTGCATTTCATGTAACCTCAGGGAGGGTCAACAGGGGTGTGTGCATTGAGATGGCCCAGGGCTAGCACAAAGTTACCCTTCAGCCACTGACAGAGATGAGCACAGCACTGGCTGCCCAGTGTGAGGGTGTTCCAGCTGTGTGGCTGGGGCTGTAGCAACTCCTTAGCTCTCCTAAAGAGTACGCATTAGGACCCCTATGTTTGAGGGAGGAGGGATGGAATCTTGTAAGTGTGGTCCGAGGGAGGAAAGCTGCTGGGTCTGAGGGAGGAGGTCTAGGGTCTGGGCTGGCTGAATTCTGGGATAAACAGGACCTATTCTTTTCTAACTTTCATCGGGTTTTGGGTCCCCCAAGCCAGGAGTGTCCCCTTACCTGTTCACTGTTCCTAGCCGTTGTCTTGTCTAAGCCGGTAACAAGCTGTGGCCAAAGTTCTCTAATAGGAGACACGCCTCTGTTGACTTTGCCCTGCATGGTGGAGGGGCGGGAGCTGACTTTGTCTTTGCTGGGATGGTCATCTTGGTGGGGACTTGGGCAGAGCACAGGGTGTCTAGAATGTGCTGGGACTGTGACAAAGTTGGCCTGATGGGCCTCCCATGCAAGAGGTCACAGATGGGAGCCAGGACCCCTGTTCTTCCTGGCTCTTGACTTGGTCATATCTATTTATCTCTCCACCCCAGGTCTGGGCCCCAAAACTTCTCCCTGTCCCCTGGATGCTATGTGGGCCCAGAAGATGTGTGTCCTCCAACTTCAAGGTAAAAGGGGGGTCCTGGGTCTAGGAAAGGAAGCCTGGTCTCATCTCTGTCTACTGTCAGATGTTGTAAAGAGATAATACTGTGTTTCTCAGAAGCCTCGGGGACCCTGATCCTCTGGGGCTGAAGCTGGGGAGCCGTGGGAGCTCTAGTCTCTTAGGTTGGGGACTCCAGGCCCCTACATTGCTGGGTTTTTGGTTTTGTTTTTTTTTTTTTTTTTCTTCTCAGGCTGCAGACCTCCAGGTTCAGGTGACCAGAGAGCCACAGAAGAAGCCAGGCCCTAGCCAGCCACTGCTGTTTGGAAAGACATTCACAGACCACATGCTGATGGTGGAATGGAACAAGACCACAGGCTGGAGCCCTCCAAGAATCCAGCCCTTCCAGAACCTCACTCTGCACCCAGCCTGCTCTGCCCTGCACTACTCTCTGCAGGTGGGGCTGGCTGCTCCTGTGGCCCACCTTCTGAATCTTCTCCCTGCTCTGTATCTGACTGAGTCCACCTCTCTGGCGCTTTGCATGTTTCTTTCTCTGTGGATCTGTCATCTTTTCCTGAGGTCACCTGTGTTCTGGGACCCAAACTAGGTGACAGTCTGTTCTTGAGATGAGCTATCTTGGCTTTGCTGGAACTCTATTCTCTGAAAGAAAATGGGGTTCTCCTGGCAAAGATGAAAACATGGGGGGGGCAGCTTATACAGACAGAAGAGCTAGGGTGGCCGACACTATTGGGTCTCAGTGTGGCAGAGGAGGCCTAGGAAGTCTTCAGGGACACAGAGATGAGGGGATTCAGAGGAGTCTCAGTGAGGACAGAACCAGCCTAGATATAGTGAGACCCCCTCAGGCACTGTGGGAAGTAGTATAATTCCAGCACTCAGGAGGTTGAGGCAGGGGGACGGCCACAATTTTGAGGCTAGCCATGGCTATAGAATGAGACCCTGTGCTGGAGCTGCAAAATTAGCAACTCCATTTTCCTGTGACAATCCTCCAGGAGCCTTGACCATCTTTGTTGCTGCAGCATGAGGCTCCATTTGATAGTAGGTCTCTTCGGACGGGCACCTGTTGTTGGACATTTGCGTTCTTTTCAGCCCTGAGATACTATAAGGAACGTTGCAATTAACAACCAGGTGCTCATATTGCTCTAAATGCAAGTGGAGCTCTCTGTCCAATTTCTAGAGCTAGTGAGTCAAAGGGCAGGTATGCTATTTTGAACAATGTTACTACACTGTTCTCTGTAGAACTTATTCCAGTTTCCACACTCACTGCCCAAGCCTGTTTCCCAGAAAGAAGCCTGCCAAACTGCTAGAGTTCTTCCAATAGTTGAAGAGCTTTTTTTTTTTTGAAGGTCTCCATTTTTTTTTTCTTTATGTACAAAGACTAGCATGATCTGTTTCACTGGGTAGATAGTCTTGAATAATCCATTCAAGGTTGCTTAGTCCAACTTAATGAAGCCTATGTCCTTCGAGTACTGATGGAAGCACTGACGGCACATATTCAGCCTGGACAAAGAGCTTTTAAAAAAGTTCTCAGAGTGATTTTTTTCTGTATATGTGTGGAGGCAGGGATTGATTGACAGCAAGTGTCTTAAGTGTCTTTCTCAATTGCTCTCCATCCTGTTTTTGAGGCAGGATCTTTTTTTTTTTTTTTTTTTTTTTTTTTTTTTTGAGACAGGATTTCTCTGTGTAACCCTGGCTGTCCTGGAACTCACTATATAGGCCAGGCTGGCCACAAACTCACAGATATCCTTCTGCCTCTGCCTCCTGAGTGCTGGGACTAAAGGCATGTGCCACCACTACCTGGCCTGAGGCAGGGTCTTTCATTGCCCTGAACCCACAAGGCTGGCTGGCCCCAGCAGTGCCTGTCCATCGCGGACTACAGGTGCCTGGATTTTCTGTGGGCACTGGAGACTGAACCCAGGCCCTCAGGGCTGTGCAGCATTCCCCCTAACTAATGTTGGGGGACTGTGCTTAAGAGCATGTATTGCTCTTTCAGAGGAGGAAGTAAGTGATGTTGGCCCTGTGACATGCTGTGACCTAATGGTGTGCACATGTATGAAATCCTCAAAGAATTACAAAAATAATCTCTAAAAAGACCCACTGAAATTTTCTCTATTGTAAACTGTCTCTCAGGCTGTTTTTCAATCAACATGGAATTTTTTAAAAAATATTTTATTGTTATTAGTTTTTATTATTATTTATTTTATTATTTTTTGAGGGGGTTTTGAGACAGTTTCTCTGTAACAGTCCTGGCTGTCCTGGAATTTACTCTGTAGGCCAGCTAGCCTGAAACTCACAGAGATCCACCTACCTCTGCCTCCCGAGTACTGGGATTAAAGGCGTGCAGGCCACCACCGCCATGGACCAACACCGCCTGGGGGTTTTATTTATTGTTATTTTATGTGTATGAGTGTTTGCATGCAGTCCCTGCAGAGGCCAGAAGAGGGCAGCCGATCCCTCGGAGCTGGAGTTACTGATGATTGAGTCACCACGTAGGGAATTGGAACTAGTTCTTTGGAAGAGCAGCCTGTGCTCTTAACTATTAGGCCATTCCTCCATCCCCCCTAAGATAGACTCTAATAACTATGTAGGAGAACTATGTATATTAAGGGAGCTTTTTTTTTTCTTAAGTGGGGTGAGGGTGATTTTGAGACAGGATCTCACCCTGTGGGCCAGGCTTCCCTCAAGCTGCCCTTAACCAGGCATGATCTGCCTCTGCCTCCTGTGTAATTGAGGTAACAGGCTTGAACTACATGGTTGCCATACTCTGTGTTTTCAGAAGTCTCCTTGTCTTTCTCTCTGTCACTCTGCTCTTTGCTGTCTCCATTTGTGTCTACGTGTCTCTTTCTATCTGGATGCTGCGGGACTCAGCACTGAGCACCCTCCCCTGCCTGTCCCTGCAGCTCTTCGAGGGCTTGAAAGCATACAAAGGCAGCGACCAGCAGGTACGCCTCTTCCGGCCGTGGCTCAACATGGACAGGATGCTCCGTTCTGCAAGGCGCCTCTGTTTGCCAGTGAGTGGCCAGTCTGCCCTACAAGGAGGGCAGAGGGTGGCTTAGGGGATCTGGACCCCTGACTCCTACGGGGTCCACAGGGCTTTGACAAGCAGGAGCTGCTGGAGTGCATTCGCCGGCTCATTGAAGTGGACAAAGACTGGGTTCCTGACGGCAACGGAACCAGCCTCTACGTGCGGCCTGTGCTGATCGGGAATGAGGTGGGCTTGGCTGGGGTAGATGCTAGTGTGGGGAACACAAAGGCTGAGCCTGGAGCCTGGGTTCTGAGGGAGGAGGCTGGGGTGTGGACCCCTTGGTCTGATGCTGTCCCTATCTCATCATAGCCCTCGCTGGGTGTCGGCGTGGTCACACGAGCCCTCCTGTATGTCATTCTTTGTCCTGTTGGCTCCTACTTTCATGGAGACTCCATGACCCCTGTCTCTCTCCTGGCTGACCCCACGTTCATCAGAGCCTGGATGGGTGGGGTTGGAGACTACAAGTTGGGGGGGTAAGTAACTCCCCACATTCATAAGTAGTAGTGCTGGAGGGGGGAGATACTGGGAAAGGGTAAACCATAAGCTGTTGTGATTTAAGAGAAGGGATTCAAGAGAGAAAGATGCCATTCAGCAGAGTTCAAGCAGAGGTTTTTTTTTTTTTTTTTTTTTTTAGAGAAAGGGATCATAAAAAGGGGAGGTGGGAACCAGCCTTTGGGGATGGGAGCTGGAGAGAGGAGAGAGGGGAGAGAGAAGGGGGTCACAGAGAGAGGGAGAGAGAGAGAGAGAAGGAGAGAGAGACAGAGAGAGAGAGGGAGAGAGAGAGAGAAGGATGGGAGGTGGGTAGGGTCTCTTTTAAAAGGGAACATAGTGAATGTGCTCTTAGTGGCTGCAGCTGAGGGTGCATCCTGTCAGAACCCCAAGGACAGGCCAGTACAGATGCCTGAATACTAACATAGTACTCCCTATGCTGCTTGGTGGGAAAGCTATTGCCACATGCTCTGTAGTTTGACTCTGGGCTTTCTCTGTGTCCTTTGTTATATTTGGTGTCTGACATTAAAAGTGAAAGAACAGGGTTAAGGATAGAGTTCAGTGATAGACTGTTTACCTAGCAAGTGGGCAGTCCTGAGTTCAAACCCCTCTGACTACCCAAAGAAAGAAAAAGGTGGCAGCCATTTCCTAACTCTAGGCCCTCGTAAATGGGCTGGCAGGTTAGGATCACGGTTGGCACAAGGGAGGCAAACAAGACCAGTTTTTGTACAGGGCTCAGAACATGGCTTGGGATCCTGTCCTGAGACAGAGTCTTGGGTGAGGTATGAATGAGTAAGAGGTGAAGTCTGTTGTGGGTAACACACAGCAGGTTGAAACAGAAGGGAAGCCAGTGTTGGGGTGCACAGCTGTAATTCTAGCCCTTGGGAGGTGGGGACAAGAGGGTCTGGAATTCAAGACTAGCTTCAGCAACACAGTGAGGCCAACTTCTGTTACCAAAGACCCTGCCCCCCAAACCAGCTGGGTGTGGTGACAAAAGTCTTTAATCCCAGCAATCTAGAGGCAGAGGCAGCCTGTTCTACAATACAAACCTCCCAAAAGCAAAGTAGAATAAAGTGAGCCAAACCTCTGGCATTAGTATATCTGTTATCTTAATACTCATGGGTGGAGAGAGTAGCTGGAGAGGCAGGAACAGGACACACCAACCACCCAGAGCCCCAACATTGACCCCAACTTGTAGGTTAAGAATTCTGTCTTGCAGGTGGGGGAGCAGGAGGGCTGTGAGCTAGGGAAGTCGACTCCTCCTTGGCTGTGTTGTGGGGAGTGTTGGGGGATTCAGTCTGACCAGGCTTCCTCCAGGAATTATGGGCCCACGGTGGCAGTGCAGCAGACAGCCCAGGAGAAGGGCTGCGAGCAAGTCCTCTGGCTGTACGGGCCAGACCACCAGCTCACTGAAGTGGGCACCATGAACATCTTCATCTACTGGACTCATGAGGATGGGGGTGAGCCTACACAGGATGGGACCCACACCCTGTATGATGGCCTGCCTAATTCCCACTGGGTTGCAAGGTCTCAGGGTCCTGGGCAGGTTGCTTCTAGAAGAAAGGGGAGGTCGTTTAAGGGTGGGAGGCAGTGACACCCATCTGTCATCCCTGACTTAGTACTGGAGCTAGCAACTCCCCCACTGGATGGCATCATCCTGCCTGGTGTGGTTCGACAAAGCCTGCTGGACCTGGCTAGGACTTGGGTAGGTCCTGCATCTTGGGACCACAGCATCCGAGCTGTGGAGCTCTGATGCAAGCTGGGCCCACTGCCATGCCCTTTCTTCTCTGGGTCTGTCTTTCTCAGGGGCTTGAGGGAGGGAATGACGGTGGTCTGCATCGGGGCAGGAGTCCGGGGACTGGAGGGTCTCTGCCCCCTTGTTATACAGGGTGAGTTCCGGGTAGTGGAGCGCAAGGTTACCATGAGGGAATTGAAGCGGGCACTGGAGGAGCGCCGGGTGCGGGAAGTCTTTGGCTCAGGAACCGCTTGTCAGGTCTGCCCAGTGCATCAAATCCTGTATGAAGGCAAGGTGAGGCGGAGCTGCCAGGGTAGGTGGGAGAGAAAGGGGGAGTGCCCCATCCTCATGCCTACTTTCCCCCAGCTACTCCACATTCCCACCATGGAGAACGGGCCGGAGCTCATCCAGCGCTTCCAGAAGGAGTTGAAGGCTATTCAGGTGAGCTCAGCTGGAAGCAAGAAGTCTGATAATGGGTCTGTCTCCCTGGGGCCAGAAGCATGGGAATTTCCTTCAGGAGTCATAGGCCCCTTTCTCGAGTCTCTGGCTCTGGGTCCTGAAGAGAGACCACTTTTTTTTCATGAGCTTCTCTGGGCTGTTGGCCACAGAAATGAGCCTCCCACGACTCCCTGGGGTCCTGGGCTGTCCCTCCCTGGCCTGGAAGGTTCCCTCCCACAAGCCTCTGGAGAATTCCCATTCTGTGAGCCAAGAGTTTCCAGATGACCTCCGGGCTCATTTCCCAGCAAGCGGGACCTGGGGTGACTGGGTGTCCTGGCCCCATGTTGGCACCTAGGACAGTTGAGCCTTCAAAGTTTTGCCACTCCCTGCCTTGACCGCCCTCGGCACGTGTCGGCTGGCCTCCGGGTCTAGGACTACACTTCCCATAAGGCATTGGGCGCAGCTCTGTGAGCTGTCAGTTGCGACGCTCCGGAGCCTGCTGGGAGTTGTAGTGCATCTGCCTCAATGCAGCACTCCGTTGTCCGGCAGTACGGAGCCAGTGCCCACGATTGGATGTTTCCGGTGTGAAGCTACCGGCTGCGTCCTCACGGCTTGGATCCACTGACCTATGGCATCCAGTCCAGCTTCCCGCTTCCCAGAGACTCACGAGAAGTGCAATAGAAAAAGGTCTGGTCAGACACCTGGGTCTCTGGCGCCCTCACGTGGTCGCTACACTCCAAAGCCTTAAGGGCGGGACTCAGGCAGTTTGGACCCCGCCTGAAGTGTTGGGGTCTCAGGGCTCAGATCCCTCAGCTGTTCCGTGTCCCGGTGTTCAAGGGGGAACCTTGGCATTTTCCGTTCTCAGGCCGGATCCCCGGTGCTCTCCATGATGCATTTTTTCTTCTTTCTGTCCTTGCTGCAATTTTGAAATAAAATGCCAAAGAACAAGACATTGTCATGTTCAAAGCGACACCCTAGAATCCTGGGGGCTCGGCACATTTTATTGTCAGGGACCCAGTTTGGAGGCATCTCTGACCTGCGGGTTCCTTCTGTACTTTAGCATCGAACCCCACTTTCTGGATTGTCCCTGCACTTATGTCTTGGGTTCAGCCTCACAGTAGCCACACCAGATCTCTCAGCATCCTTTCCCTTCTTTACAGGGCATTGGTGTCTAAGCCCCGTTTCTGGAGCTCCTGACTGCTCTGTCCCTTGTGTCCCCCTTGGCCTGACCTCCTGGCCCGGTCTTCTATCCCAGTTTCCCCTATGTCCTCCTGGCCTTCATCTGCTCTTATCTGACACCAAAGGCTGTTTCTATAATTGTGCCTGTCTTATTTGGATTTCTATTGCTGTAAAGAGACACTGTGGCCATGGCAACTCTTACAAAGAAAGCTTTTAATTGGGTGGCTCACTTACAGTTCAGAGGTTTAGTCCATTATCATCATGGCAGCTTGTAGTCAGATGTGGTGCTGGAGTGGCAGCTGAGAGTCCTATATCTTGCCGGGATGGGGGATATCCTGAGCATAGGAGACCTCAAAGACCCGCTCCCACAGTGACACACTTGTTACAACAAGGCTATACCCAGTAGATTTCCTGTATCTTGATAATAGCTTTCTCCGCCAACACAGTAAGCCAGATCAAGCTGGATTGAAAAAGTAAAAGAACAGGTTTATTTGAGCAAAGCAATCCCCAGGTGGGTTCTCCAGTCCCAGAGAAATATCATGCCCAACTAAGGCAGGGAGCTTCCATAGCTTGTAGGCAAGGAGTAGTGATGTACACTTTAGGCCTGGACTTGGGCTGCAGGCACCTTCAGGGTAGGAGCTGCTGCAGCCGACAAGATTCAGAACTGGTCTTTTTTGGCACCTTTTCTTTGTTGGTGATTCTCTGAGAGGGCGGGTTTGGAGAGAGAGGAATGGGGCTTTCTGAATCAAGGAGTGGGCTAGACGTTCAGAGGAATAATACCCACTCCAACAAAGCTATGCCTCCTAATAGTAGCACTCCCTATGAGATTGTGGGAGTCGATTATATTCAAACTATCACATCCCACACCCTGCCCCCCATAAACTGGTAACAATATCATAATGCAAAACATATTTAATCCAGCTTCAAAAGTCCCCATTGTCTATCCATAGTCTCTTCTGAGATTTGTGCAATCTCTTAACTGTAAGTTAAAATTAAAAATAAAAAACAGATCACACACTTCCAACATACAATGGCACAAGAAATACATTACTGTGTAGGAAAGGGAGCATAGTGAGGGAATACGGCACCAAGCAAGACCAAAAACTGGTTGTGCCATCAATCCAAACTCTGCAATCTCCACTCTGATGTCAAAATGCTCTTCAGATCTCCAACTCCTTTCAACTTTGCTGGCTGTGACACCCCTCCTTCTCTTGCACTGGCTCCGCTCCCTGTCGGCAGCTCTCCTCGGCAGGCATCCCGTGACTCTGGCATCTCTGGCATCTTGTGGTCTCCAAGGCTTCACCTTCGCAGCTTCACACAGTGGCCTCTCCGGGCCTCCATGCAGGGACACGCCAACATGCCTAGCCTCAGTCCCTTGATTCCATAAGTTCTTTCTAATGTCCTTAACTCTAAACCCAGAACCATGTGTCCAAAGCTGCCAAGTCCTGCTGCTTCCTGGGGCTGGAACATGGCCTCCTCGTTCAATTACATCTTCACCAGCTTTCTGTCTTTCACTGCCTAAGCTTGTCTGTCCTGAAACTTGCTGTGTAGACCAGGCTGGCCTCAAAATCAGAAGCCTCTGCTTTCCCAGGACTGGGATTAAAGGCATGCACCAACCACACCCGGCTCTAAAATTTTATTTAGTTCCATTTCACAAGTTGGAAGTTTAGCTGGGTGGGATCTTGCCTTGAGGTCACCACTCCCTTTATTCCATTTCTTAATCTGTTCCTTGAAGGCAGGATTTAGTTCTTTTCTTTCTTTCTTTCTCTCTCTCTTTCTTTCTTTCTTTCTTTCTTTCTTTCTTTCTTATTTTTAAAGATTTATTTATTTATTTATTTATTTATTTATTTATGCAGCATTCAGCCTTGGATGCCAGAAGAGGGCACCAGATCTCATTATAGATGGTTGTGAGCCAATATATGGTTGCTGAGAATTGAATTCAGGACCTCTGGAAGAGCAGTCAGTGCTCTTAATCTCTGAGCCATCTCTCCAGCCCCCCAAAATAGTTTTCTTTCTTTCTTTTCTTTTTTTCTTTTTTTTTCTTTTTGTTTTTGTTTTATTGAGACAGAGTTTCTCTGTATTGTTTTGGAGCCTATCCTGGAACTCACTCTGTAGATCAAGCTGGTCTTGAACTCACAGTGATCTGCCTGTCTCTGCCTCCCGAGTGCTGGGATTAAAGGTGTGCGCCACCAATGCCCAGCCAGGATTTAGTTCTATTCCACTTTTTAGTATTCCTTTCTCCCAAAATTTTACTTTTTAAAAAATTTATCCTGCTCAGTGTGCTTGTTTTCATTATATATCTTCATTAGAGTTATCACTGATAACCACA